GAAAGAAAGAAAGAAAGAAAGAAAGAAAGAAAGAAAGAAAGAAAGAAAGAAAAGGAAGAAAGAAAGAAAGAAAGAAAGAAAGAAAAGGAAGAAAGAAAAAAAAGGAAGAAAAAGAAAGAGACTCTCTCATGGGGCAAGAAGCAGGAGCAGGGCCAGAGTAAGGAGGGGTGAGTACCAGCCTGGAGGAAGTGCTTGAGGACCCCGGTGAGCTGCGGGTCCTCGTTGACGTTGAGGAGGTGGGGGACGGTCTTCATCATCTGCCGCTCCTGGAGGAGAAACAGAGAGGGTTCCTGTCACCCGCCCGGGCCGGCGCGCTCGGGGGAGGAGCCTTCCTTTCCCACCCACTTCTCATCAGCGCCGTCTGTCTGTGCATCCTGTCCGATGAGCTGGCGAAGCAAACCCGGGGAGGAAAGGCGAGTGGGGCCAGGGGCATCGCAGGGGTGAGACCCTGGGCAGGTTAGCGGTCAGGGGCCTGAGTTCATCGGGACAGGGCGTCCCGGAGCGTTTCTGACTCTGTCCCTTCTTCCCAGCGGCCCTCGCATTAGCCCCTCCACTCTGACTTCTACCCCCACCATTTCTTCAGGCTCCTGGTGTCCCCAGGTGTCCCCACTCTGTCGCCCCACCTGGGTAATCCTTCCCCGGTCTCCACTTAACTTGCTACCCAAATCTCATGTCCCCAAGTCCTGGAGGCTCAGCCCACTGACAAGCAGATGCCGTCGGCAACGGCATGTTGCGTCGCCCCCTCCTGGCCGCCCGAACGCATGCCATTCTTCAGTGCGGTATTGATGGGCATTGCACTCATAGCCGGTTGTCAAATAGAACTGGAATAAACTATTCAGGCACAAGGAAAGCTTTTAAATCTAGAAATTCCAATAAAGAGTAAAGAGGATAAAAATCCTTCCCGTTTTACTGTCTGCGAGAACACAAAATCCTGTGTACTCTGAATCCTACCTGACCTGGCGACCCCCTACGTAGACTGCTACTTTAATGGCACCTCCTGCACCCCTTGTGCCCATCCGTCTAGAATCCTTGGTCACTAACCGGATCTGGCCTCCCAGTGAGTGGATCCCCACCCCACCCCACCCTACTGCTGGGCTCGCATTCTAGGGTTTATGAGCCTTTCAGAAGCCAGACTGGACACCCCACCCCCCCGCCGCCATCACTCCCAAAGTGTTCCAAGACTGGCTCATGACTTGGGGGTTCGCTCAGAGCCCAGTGGCTTTGGGGAGCAAGGTCGCGGTGGGGGTGCAGTGTTGCCGGGAGGCAGAGCCGGCATCTCCCTGACTCGTCTGGGGAATTCGCATCCCAGCCCATCCATGGTCTGGAATCGGTAGGGAATGCCAGGAGGGATACCATGGTTCAGGGCACAACATAAGGCCCCCAGAGGACAAGTCCTCAAATTCTCCCTAAACTCTCACGACAACAGCCTCGAACTTTATCCTCAGTCTCATCATCGGTACGCACCCAGATCTCTCGGCTGCCTTCCCTTTCACGCCCTGCCGAGAATATTCTCGTAAGTCATATGTCACATTTCATATACTGCACACGTGGTGAGGAAAACCTGACCCCCGTCATCCACCTGACCGCCCGGGCCGTCGGCCTCCACAGCTGCAGGCGATGGATCGCACCTGGGCGATGGATCTCACCTGGGCGATGGCCACGTAGTGCTGCCGCCACTCCTCCCGAGCCTGCTCCAGCTGGTGCGCCCAGGTCAGCTGATCCGTGCGCAGCCCGTGCTCTGCCCGCGAGTGGGCCGACTGCTCTGCGGGGAGGGAGGGATTTAAGCAGCAGGTAGCGGGCGTCGAAGGTGAGGCTGCAGGAAGCCTCGGCTCCGTGCTAGGTGGGGCCGTGGGGGCTCTCGGCAGGAGTGGGGGAGCGGACTGCACCGACGCATGCAGAAGAAATCACTCGGTAAGTTCTACAGAGCATGACCACCTTTTAATTCATAGGAAACTAGAGCAAGAAGGGCCCCGCGGGGAGGCGTGAGGCTCCATGCTGGTTTTTGTTGGTATGGGCAAGCGAGAGCGTTTCGTTTGACACCGTGGTTACTGGACATTCCTCCAAGGCCAGGGGATTCGGGAAGAACGGTTTATCCTACGTCGTTTTTCACATATTCTGTGTCTTTGCTTGTGAATAACGGAAATGAGATGCTATATATAAGTCGAGCGTGTCCAGATTTTGATGGTACAGAGACCTGTGGCCAAGCAGAGCCACGCCTAGACCAGGAGGTGGCTTTGCTGGAGCTAAAGTCTTCGTGAGTCGGGGGGCCGGGATCGGAGATGTGCCAGGTGGGGCCGGTCATGGAGGCAGCGTGGGGGCGGGGTGCAGTAGCGCTGCTCTGGGACCATGTTTGGGGCAGTAGCGCTGCTCTGGAGTGGGGGAGGGGCGGGGGTGGCGAAGGCAGGATGGTGACTGTGGAGCCTCAGTGCTGGCACAAGTGTCTCCATGCCGAACACTTTTACGAATTCTACTTCGTTTCATATTTTGCCTTTTTTAGCCATCTCATTCTAAATTATTAATGTGCATGAGATTATATGTACCTCCATGCTGCCTTCACCAGAAGCAGCGGTTCTTGCTAATTGCACAGGGGAGTCACCTGGGCACTTTAAGAATTGATTCATTGGCCCGGTCACCAGGTGACTCTAATGTGTGGCCAGGGCTGAGCATCTTCGAATACACTGCTGCTAATGCTGCTTGAGCTTGGAACATCACTTAACTGTGAGGCCATCAGAATGAATGTTCAATGGCCACCATCCAACTCTGGTGAGGAAAAAGTCCCAGGAGAAACAATGGCCTCGAAATAAAAATGGCAAGATAATGAGACTAAAATGACAATTTAAAAAGAGCAGGGACATGATTTCTTACAACCACATGTGGATCTACGTTTATCTCAAAGTGATTTCTTCCAAGGTCAGGGCCAAAATGTCCTCAACAAGGCCAGGGTGCCCCTGGCCTGCGCTGGGCGCTGCTCAGACTGACCAGGTGCCCACCCCAGGCCCCATGCTGGTCCCTCCTCCAGCTCCCAGCTCTCTGGCTTGGACTCAGGGTTGACTCCTGACTCAGTTTACCTGCCATCCTGGAGCGTCTGCACCCGAGCAGCAGTTTGCTGT